CCATCCCGTCGATTCTAAACCGTCGCCATCCCGTCGATTCTAAACCGTCGCCATCCCGTCGATTCTAAACCGTCGCCATCCCGTCGATTCTAAACCGTCGCCATCCCGTCGATTCTAAACCTTCAAATTACCATAGCTTGTAGACTTCAAACTTTCTTAGATTTTGAAATTTATTTTAGTTTGTCGTTTATAGGAAGAGTGCCCGTCGTCTTCCCGTCCTCGCAACCCATGAAAATATACTGCTTCCCCTCCATACTCTTCCTCTGCCTCTCCGCCTTCCCCGCCACCCTCCCCCAGGACCTTCATTGCCCATACGGCTCCTGGCAGAACAACACCGTCTGCGAAGTTTGCCCCGATGGGGTCTACTGCATCGGCCTTCAACGCCATTGCCGTTCGGGCTACCATTCCTTGCCCGATGGACTCTGCACCCCTTGTGAACCGGGGTATTTCTGCTACCATGGGCAGCAAATCCAATGCCCCCCCACTCCAACTCCGCCCCGCTCGCCAAGGTGTTCGACGATTGCTTATGCCAAGCGGGATATTGCCCTGACACCATGAACTGGGAGTGCCTCCCCTGCCCAGATTTGCTGTGCTCCGAACATCAACACATCGAATTCTGGGCTGGAGACCCACAGTGCGTCTGTGACCTCGGGTACTTCAAAGACCAGTCCCTTGGCACCCCGTGCTCCCCTTGCCCCGCTGGATACTTCTGCAGCTGGGGTAACAAAACAGCTTGTGCTGATTACACTCACAACACACCCTCGCCCCCACTTAGCACTTCCATAGACGACTGCCCATGCCAGGAGGGCTATTTTCGCGATGGTGAGTACTACAGTGTGAATTGCACTGAATGCTCCCCGTCGTACTACTGCACAGACTCCAAGTTGACCAAGTGCCCCCTCCACTCCTCCTCCCCGACCCTCTCCACCTCCCTCCAGAACTGCTCCTGCGACCCCGGATACTACCGAAGCAACCACTCCTGCCTCCCCTGCCCCCTCCAATCCTCCATCACACAGGATACCGGCTCCATTCTCAACTGCTCCTGACACCCCGGATACTACAGAAACAACCACTCCTGCCTCCCCTGCCCCCTCTACTCCACCCTCAGACCAGATGCTGGCTCAATCCTCCGCTGCTCCTGCGACCCCGGATACTACCTGAAGCAATACTCCCTGCCTCGACTGATTCCATCAATAGCTGGCTGA